GCTGGCCACTTCCAGCCGATGGTGCATTTCTTCATTACTCACAAAAGGTGACACCTCCCCAGCGCGTGCCCAGGGGGCGGGGCCAACATGGCAGGGGCCGGTCCCTTGCTGTTTCCAGACGGCCTTGTGGAGCTAAGACTGAATGCGTTTCAGCATAGATGGCCACCACAAAATTGTACATTGGCTCCCGGGCAGCCTGAGCCGAGGCCAAGGCAGCAGGGGCCGTTCCCTCACTGTTTCCAGGATGGCTTCGTGGGCCACATGAAACTATGTTGCGAGCCGCATCTGGCCCCCGGTCCTTGTGTTTGACATGTCTGTTTTAGACTGATGAGTGATCAAGCAAGAATCTTGAGTGCTGTCTAATAAACAACACACTGAAATTCACACAATATTATTAACCATGACTAAGATTAAATGTTATTTATTTATTAAATTTATATGCCGCCTATTTCAACTATTTAATCATGTATTTTTTAGTGAGGGATATATTTCTGCTTTCTTTAATAGGGATATTCATCCGGATGGATTATCAAAGGCTTACACGATAATATTTTTATTCCGTCTTCTCTCAGAAACCTCTAATGAACCATTTGCAATTTGGCAGATAACAGACAGAAATTACAGACCACAAGTTGGAGTTGTTCTTGACCGTAAGGCCCCCCTCTCCCCATGAACTATGGACTGAATGTATGAATAGAATGGACAGAAGTTGTTTTACTTTGGGAATATTTCAAAATATTTCTACATAGTAAAATAGTAAAATTTTACTCTGACAGACATAGTTTATTCAGTATCAGAAATCAGTTGAACAGAATATTGCTAGGCAGATTGCAACTACGGTAATTTGCCATCGACATGCAAGATGTATAATGTTTAGGTGGGTTGCGAGTTGCCAAGCTGCAGTTATTTAATGCAATTTTTATATGAAACAATTCAGCCAATGCTTTGATCTGAACTTAAAAGGTGTACCTTTTTTTTTAGAGAATTAGGAAGCAACAAATTAATTTAGAGAAAGAACTTCCAGTAACTTTACCTGAACTCTTAAATAATTTTTTGCAAAATTGGGGAAGAAAAAGGTTTTGTTTATCTAAGTGTTATCTCAGGCTCTCCTTTGTGAGACCATCTAAAGATTGGTAACCTGCCGGCAGTAGCAGTAAAGTTTGTCAGCATTTGTGAACTTATCAGTAGACACAAAGTATTGCTTTAGTTGATACTATTCTACTTATATGTTAAAAAGAATAAATATACTAAGAAGTTCCACTTTCATATTTATATTGGAGAAGCCTTCCTTCAGGTTGCCATAAGTTGTGATTCTTCCCCATGGCATGCAGGTTCTGACTCAATAATTGGCAAGTTGAAAATTGCTAGATGTTTCCTCTCGTGTTCTCTCCTGTTTCAGCCATAGACACTTCATGTTGCATTAAGCATCTCAATTCATTGTTTCATTTCAAAGCAACACTTTGGATTACCAGAATTAATTGATTGAATGATTTACGCTCTGACATGGAACTCTATTTGTAGGGAATATAACACCCAAAATTATTAAGTGATTCAACGGCTTAGAATTTTTTGTTTACAAAAAACCTTGACTTTAACCTTGTAGCCTTTTATATTGTAAAATAAATACTAATAATCTTATGTTACAAGCAAGCTTCATAATGTTGTAACAGCCGTTCTGTGTATTTCTATTATTTATATAGCAATCCTAATTAAGGTATTGGTGAAAGGGAATCTCCCTGAATAGTCTTATGAATCAGGTTTGGAAATGGGTGTGGATAAATTAAGGAGCTGCATTGAGCTACCATGAAAAGGTGCAGCTGCTTTAAAAATTAGAGACAAGGGCTACATTTCTGTATCTTGTGATCTGAATTACCTTTTGGAATTAATCTGATACATTAGATAGTCCTATAATGTGCTATCCGTATCTTTAATATTATGTATTTCTCCCTAGCTTCCAGCAAAGTGCTATCATTCTTTAACAAAGACACAAGAGGAGAAATTCAGACTGTAGCATTTGAAGGTGATGAAATAAAGAAACTCTTTTACGGAAGTTTCCACAAGGTAAAATCATCCAGACATCTAGTAATACTTATCCTTTCAATAATACTTTCGTATATTTTGGAGAGACCACCACCTATCTACATCTCTCTATTTTTACTAAATATTTATGAAAATTTCGTTTATTGTAAAAGTTTATTAACCAAACTTACGTATGACTTTTTACGAGTTCAAATGAGACTTTGTTTACGGTTGTAAAAATAGTAACCGAAAGCTTACATAGATCAGCATCCTTAACTCAGTTTTCATATATTCTGATTATTATTAGCATAACTCAGCACATTGTCTTAATTTGTTGTTTGACCAGTTATGTGTTTCTCCAATTGACCCATTGGACAATGTGCAGCAAAAACTAAAATATACCTAATATACATATTGCGGTGAAAATAGTCAGTGATAAGCAGGTTTTATCCATATGTGAGTGTGACCATTCCTGTCCCATGTACATATGGAGCTTATGCATTTGTATTTATATTTTTTGAAGGCAAGTACAGAGCTATCTCTGAAAGGAAGTAAATGTGAAAATTGTTATGGGAGAAAGAGCATTGTGTACCAGGAGGACAGCTCTGTTTGAAGCAGAGTGGAAGAAGCAGACAATCATAGATGTTTCTCTAAGGATTTGTTTATCACAATTCTACAGATGGATGAATTCTACCGGAATATTTTGCCAGAGTATAATGTGGTGTTAATTCAGTGCATTGCATTTCCATTCACTGAAAAATAGCTAACTTGGCTTTTTGTGAAATATTTGCTTTGGCATACTATTTTGGGTTTTGGCTACAATGAAAGTCTTAGGGAAGATGTTGGCCTAGTTAACATCTTGTCAAGGAACTCTTATAGAAACAGATGTTTTATGTTTGTTGACTTGCCGTTAATGGGCCAAATATACATGGCAAGAATCTTCTGTGAAGTCGTCCTTGCCATTTTTTTAATGGAAGACTAGTAAAAGAAGGATCTGATTAACCTAGGAAACAAGATAACAATTTACTAAAAGGAAAGTTTTAAAGTGTCTTGATACTTTTCTTTTTGCCTTATTCTTTCAAAAGGAAAAGGGAAAAAACTGACAGAAGACTATTTTTTAATCTAGATGCTATTTTCATTCCTGCCAAATCTGCTCTGTCCCACGGCTGTTCTCAGCTGTCTAGTATGTTAGGTGTATTCTTTTTTATCTTAGATAATTGACCTTGTGTACTACCAGAGAAGTTGAGAATAAATGAACTGAGTTGAGTTCCAGATCTGCAGCAATGGACCCATCCTGGTTTCATTGTTATTGTTTGTTGTTAGGAGTTTGTGGTTCATGCATAGGAATCAGCATTAACTTTAGAAAACTTTCTCCAGTCTCTGTCATAATTTTCATTTATTTTCTTCTATTTACTATTTGATGGCAGTATTTTTACAGGATAACAAACTAATCCACAACCCAATTTTTAAAAGGCCCAGTTATATGCTAGTGTGTGTGTGTGTGTGTGTGTGTGTGTGTGTGTATTTAGCAAATCTTAAGCTAAAAAAACCCCATCTCCTTCATTTCATCTGCTCTGTTCAGTTCAGTCTGAAGTTGTTCAGCAGTTAACCATTAGCCTATAGTTGAAGATGCTGTTAATGTTTTATTACACCATAATAAATTGAGAGTTTTAAGAGAGATTATAGTCTATACAGCAGTAAGAACAGATACAAACACACAAGACACATAGACACAGAAGACACAATCACACACAATAGTTAATGGGCAGATTAAAATTCTTATAGTATTTTAATGCATGATGTGATTTCAGGTTGTGATTTTAGTCATACTTATTAATTAAAGTTATTTCTGAATAAATAATACATATTGAATTGTTTTATCCGAAATCACTGAAAAAACATTTTTTAAAATTTAGTTATGTGCTTTCCTGCTGATCCAATTCTATTATTATAACAAGTAAGGTGTACCTTGAGTTTAAAGCTGTATGATTATAAATAAACTAATAAAGATGTATGAATTACAGATTTGGATGTGAAAATGGTAAAATGACACTTGATGAGTTTTTAATCAATTGGAAAGAGATATTTCTTAAACTTCTGTTTGGAAACTGAACATCAGTGTGAAATGGTTTTCCATTTCTTACGTAGTTATAATTCAAAAGTATTTTTCACCATTTGATGGGTCTCATAGCATTTGTTCTATATAGATTCCAAGGAAAGACTATTTTTTACCCTAATAAGGCCTCTCTACCAGATGTTCTTCAGTTCCAAAATGTATTAGATATACTGTATGAAGACTGTTGTGGTTACAAAGCTTGCAAAAATATAGTGGGAATAATTTGGATATTTTCATTCATACTAATATATATTCTATATAATTGAAATCAGTCAATATTCTAGCTGTGCATTTGAAAAGGGATGTCTGACAGAATGATGGTATTTAATAATAGGAAAGTTTCTCCAAAATGTGTAATGAGTAAAAATATTATATTACATTTTTAGTCTAGTGTTACAAAAAAAAATATGGAAAATGTCATTTCCACTCCATTTTATTTCTGCTGCTCAGTTTCTATGAATAGGAGAGGTTTGGAAGGATTATTTTTGAAAACTACTGGTTATGGAAAAATAAACTTTTGGAACAAGCAACGGCTGCAACAACAAAAAGCTTCCTGTAGTCTTTATGTCTTTATCACTAGTTGGTGTTATACTGTATTTATATGGTTCTTGGTGGCATTGGTTCATAGCATATGTTTGTATAGATTATCACACCTTCATCCAGACCTATTCCAAAGCTAAGTGCAGACAAAAGTTGTCAAGTCACTGCTTCTTTATTGTCTGGAATACAATGAAGTACATATAGTGGAGCTGCCACTTTCATTGAAAAGGACACTTTTACACATAGATACACTATAGAAAACCTGAATATTTGTGCCTCTTTGCCTTCAAGATTTTGGCCAATTTCTATATACATTGAATTATGGTTTGAACTAAAAGGTTTACTTCTAAAGCCATGAAGAATTAACCGGATTTTTGTTATGCTTCTTCTGAATAATTTTCCTCTAGGTTCATCTTGTTATAACATCCACAAGTGCTAAGATTTATGTTGACTGTGTTGAAATTATGGAAAAGCCTATTAAGGAAGCCGGAAATATCACAACTGATGGCTATGAAATCCTTGGTAAATTACAGAAAGGTGATAAGAAAACAGCACCAGTAAGTGGTAAACTTTTCTAAATTAAATTTTAAAATCTTTATTAAAGACATCACAACATGTCTTTATCACAACCGTTGTCTCATCCAAGTCACAGGCAGTAAGCCTGTTAGGAGAGGAGATGAAGTTACTTTTCACTCTCTTGTTCAGAATCTCTTCCTCACACACAACTTGCCACATCAGCACTTCCTGATCAAACCCTGATATGATCGTTGATTAAAAAGATTTCTCCCCTGCCCTCCCATCATTTCATATAAAGGCTTTATCCAGCAGCCATTGCAACTTTGCCAATGTTGATGTCCTTAAAATGGATACTGATACACCCCCTGCTTGAAGGGCTGGCTAACTAACCCAACTATTCCGGCTGTCACCAGCCTCCAAACTTCTGTTTTTAGAGAAAGTTGTTAAAAAATGAGGAGCTGCCAGCTAAGAGATTCTAGAAAATATGGATTATCTTGATCTTTTTCAGACAGAGTTCAGGTTAATATATGGGAGAGAAACCACACTGGTCACTTAGATAAAGGAGTGTGACTCTCCCTTTGTAGGATTTTTCAGTGACTTTCCAAACCATCAGTCATGATCCCCAACCCAGGTGGGAACAAATATAGAAGTGAGAATTCTCTGCCAGAGCTCTCCTTTTACGGAATTTCTTGCCATCCAAAATAAGATCTAGCTCCTGATATTCAAGATACCCTCTACTCACTCCTTAGTCCCCAATATTCTTGTTTTTAACTAAGAGGAGTGAAGACTAAGTAAACATATAGCTGAGCTGGAGGTTATTATGATACTGATGATTATGAGTGTTATTATTATTATATAAATATTTTTATAAAGCTGATATATTTGTTTTTCTTTATCCGGTCTGCTGCTTAAAGCCAATTAAAGCAGGACACGAGCATTTTAAATAAATGCATGAATAACTGTTTTGAGTTTCAGAGTTCCATATTATCCAAAGGCTGCAGCTCTAAAAATTTGATAGAAAACTTCTCAGTTGTCTGAGTTCAGATAGAGTGTATATAGATTGTATGCAGACTGTTGGCTTCCATCAAAATTCCCTCATATTCTTCAGAGTATTCCCACAATATTTGGCTTAGAATAGAAACAGAACTTTTCTTTTAGTAGCATCAACCTCTGAGTCAGTTGCATGACTCAGTCATAAGAGTCACAGAATCTTTGGCTGGGAACAATATGTTTATTATTTTAAGTAACTTTCATTGCTAATGATAAACATATCAGTCAGTGGCCATGCTTCTTGGGGATTCTGAATATTGTAGTCTTAATATATTTGGAAGGCATAAGGTTGGGAAAGTCTGATATATAGCACCACCACAATACTGATTTTGCTATGTAGCTCTTGTTCTGTACACAGCTATCCCTCCCACAAGATCAACAGAAAATCAGTAATAATACATAACAAACAGTAAAAAGTGTTTTGTGGTTCTTAACTACTTTGGAAATGCTTTTTCCCTACTGTCTCAAAATGGGATGAAATGCATGTTACAGAGTGTTCCTCCTGTGCTTGTTGGTGTCCCCATCCCTATACCTCTCATTTCATGTGTCACACAATCTAGTCCAAAATATAAGTCATTAAATGAAATTTTAATTACTTGCTGGAGTTTAGGGTACTGTGCTAAATAATTGATTTTAATACCATGTTGAAAGGAAAGCTTTTGAAATTCCCCTTTGGGTAACAACTTCAGAATTCAAGTTTTTCTTTCCAGTCATCCCATTAGCAGCCTTTCAGGAGAAATGCTTTTGGAGTCAGATAGACAGATTGTGTGCCTCTAGGTATGTCTGGAAAGGTGAATGGGCAGGAAACATTTTTGTCTCTAGAAACAGGGGAAGGTCTGCTTGTTATTTTGTATAAGTGGCAGAGCTCTTAAAGATGCAGGTCGGTTATGCAATAATGTCGGTCTTCCCAGGTAAACCAGATAGGAAATACGACTAGGTGAGCTAAATCTACTTTATTGTAAGGCTATATGTACAGAAACTTGCAAATCTGAAAGTACAGCTTCCTGTCTGTTAGTTTTAACTGCTACAGCCATTAGGGCAGGTCCTTCCCAAATTTGTTTTTTTGACTGTTAAATGATTTCAGGCTCCAGCCTCTCATGTACAATAGATTCCTAGGCAGCATCTCCTTTTTCTTTCCTCAAAGCTATCCATGCATTTGATTACAATTAATCCAGTTTTATAGGAATCGTGTGAACTACCACAGGGACCTGAAGTAAACCACTTTGTGACCATTTTCTTAGTTTCCTGTGTTAATGTCCTTGGTGTGGTAATAGGAATGATACTTGGCTGGCATAGCTGAAAGAAAGACAGTACCATTATTTTGTTTAAATTGCAGGATTTTGTACTTGAAGATTAATTCAGATATAACTTTAAATACACTTCCATTTCTGCTTTATAGTTTGATATACAGAGCTTTGACATTGTGTGCAATGCAGTTTGGACCAGCAGAGATAGATGCTGTGACATTCCTTCTAAGGTAAATATATAGGAAATGTTTAGACAGATTTAATACCTCATATCAAGAGCCTGAGCTTGTTCCTCCAAGAGAACAGTGTGGGATAACAGCCTTAAACAATCTCTTTTGGGAATAATAAATTATCTATGGGATTCTGAATCATACTGAATGAAGGAATGTAACTTCACCAGAGCATATTCTAAATATTGCAGTCCAGATAGCCTATTGTAGAAAAAACAGTTTAGCTGCCTTGTCACATTCCAGTTATGTTTTCAGAATCTAGGACTGTATTCTTAAAAAAATATTAAATATACCTAGTATTCCCTTACCTTTCATTTAACTTACTATTTTTTTTAATAAATCTCTTGTGGACTTTGAGGTGGAATCTGCAGATGTCTAGGATAAGGAACAGTGAAACAACCGATTATAGCTGTTGATAATGTAGCATATTAGACAAAAATCAGCCAGCAGCATTTGTGTCAATATGCAACTAGACCATGTTCATTTTGAAGGAGAGGGAGAATAAATGAAGGGAGATGAGTTGAGAAAAACCAGCAAGCAGAAGATAACTTAAGGAACTTCACAGAGAAGAGAGAAATAAGTATGTAATTTTACTGGAATAATTCATTGATTTTAACTACTGTGCTTCAGTAGATTTCCACAGAAATAGTAAATTTCTGGAGTCTTTTTTAGACTTCCGCCAACATTATTTTCTGCTGAAACCAATCTATGTTATTTAATGATACAATTTTGCTTTATATTCCACTGTTCTAAAAAACAGAATGGAAGCAGTGACAGTTCTCAAGATACGGTGTGAATTATGTTCATAGGAAAGCTACCACGTCAACTTCTAATTATATATCAGCATTGTATAATATTGTAGAAGTCAGTATTTAACTGGGTTGATGTTGAGTGTAAAATAAAAGCTGCATTAAAATCATATTTAGTTATTTTTATATTTAATGCAAATTGAATTTTACTTTAAATTAAAAGTGTTAATTAATATGGGAGTGAGTAGAATTCAGCCTTAGAATATATTTTGTAAAATAAATCCTAGAATGCGCGAAGAAAGTACAGAGTGCTGTAAACATGTGGAAAGGGTGTCTTTCCCCAGCAGAGCAATCAGTTTTTGCTTTTATGTAGACTTCAATATCAGATATAGTTATAGTATACAGTAAATTATCCACCTGTAAGATTACAGTTGTTTTCTCTGTCAGGAAAAGATCATTTTAAATCTGTCATGTTTTGCTTTAAATTTCAGAGGGATGAAGCAAAATGTCCATCATTGCCAAATGCTTGTACATGTGTACAAACCAGTGTGGGGGCTCCAGGACCTCCAGGACCTGCTGTAAGTAAAAATCAATATATTGTGATTATAAGCCATATGGATAAGCCTATGTTTAACTTCTAAAAGCTTCATTGAGTCTGGGTCAATATCAGTTGAAGACACAGATAGTCCTTGACTTATGACTGGACCCAATGGTTGGAAAGACCCAAAACAGGGAACTTAAAACTTTGATACAAAATTCTGATGGTTGGGCCCCCTCTGCAATCACATAACTGCACTTAAGGCACTCAGCAATATGGCCATGATCCCTTATCTGGTTTTTGGCAAATCTGTGCCATAGTGAACAATGGTCCAATTAACCAACCACGGCATTCACCACATTCATGTTACAACCGCCATGTTCATTTTACAATCACCAAGAAAGATTGTAGAGTTATGACTTAGGATCATAATGGGCAGGACTGAGGACTGCCTGTATCATCTTTTGTAGTGGCAAGTAGTTAACTTCATCCCTAGTTTTGGCACAGTAACACCAGTCAGCAGCCATTATTTGTGTGCTCATTTCCTAGAGTAGATACAGGGCTGAGGGACCTCTCTTACTGGTATAGTTATATTAGTGGTGGGGTTCAGCCAGTTCGCACCATTTCGGCAGAATCGGTAGCTAATTTTTTGTTGCCCAGGCCCAGAATGGACTTCCAGAAACAGCATCCACACAGAGAACCGGTTGTTCACATATTTGAATCCCACTACTGAGTTATATGCCTTGGGCTGTGTAATGACAATGCACTTCTGTAACACAAATGTGGAAAACCTGTTACCATCCACATACCATTAGCTCAAGTTTGGGAATGAATTGTTCAGGTAATGATGGAAGCCAGTGAAATGAGCAAGAAGACTTTATAAAAGAAAAATTTCCTAACTTCTAACTCTATGAAAGGGATGAAACTGATTCAACATGATTGACACAGATCAAATGAATGTCACTCCTCAGGGCTGTTTAAATGAGAGGAAAGAGGCATGCTGTTCAGAGAAAATGATCTCACACATTGTAATGAATTAGTGGTTAATGACAAATATTTAGCAGTTAATCATTTTAGTCTTCCTCCTTGTTTTATCACCTCTGCCTTCCTGAGGAAATAAAATGTGCAACTTGTAGCCCATAGACATTGTTTTTATCTTAATGGTGGGCAATCTCTTTGGAGCTATGCTTGAAATATTTTTTTTCAGAATGAATAATACTAGGTCCTTCAGAAAATTGTGAGAAGATAGGATGTTCTGTATAGAAAATTTAGACATGATAGTCTTTATCTCTTTGTTTCCCATGTGTTTGTTTTTCTGGATTTTAGGGAGCTCGAGGTATCAGTGGTTCAAGAGGTGAAAGAGGCTTAAGTGGACCTCCTGTGAGTATTTATGTATTCAATTTGTATAACTGCCCATCTCAAATCAGTGACCCTTGACAACGCACAATCATAAAAACTATTAAAACCGTCAAAACACAATGCAAAAAAGAAATACAAATAGCAGCCAAGATATATTATAATCCATTGGTGTCAACTTTACCAGGAAATGGGGCTCTTCCCAGATCTCGGGACCCCAGGCCGAGACACATAATCAGATCCTTCTCTTGGGGGTTGGGAGGGTGTACAGAGAGCAGGAGCTACAGCAGAAAAGGCACTTTGCCTGGTTCCCACCAGCCAACATTCTTTGGCTGACAGGACCTGGAGAATGTCCATCTGATTTGGACAGGTAGAAACAACTAGAAGAAGACAACATCTCAGATAACCATGGTTCCAAGCCATGAAGGGCTTTAAAGGTGACAACCAGCACCTTAAATTGCACCCCAGAAATACAGTGGCAGCTCCCAAAGCAGTGGGGTTACATATATGCTGGATAGCCAGCGCCATTTACAACCCATGCAGCTGCGTTCTGTTCCAGCTGAAGCTTCTGAATGCTACTCAAGGACAGCTCCATGTAGAGCATGTTGCATTAGACTAAATAAGAGATCATGAGGGCATGGATCACAATTAGCAGACCCGATCCAGGAATAGGTGCAATTGGCGCACAGTCTGAAAGTGTGCAAAGGCCCGATTAGCCATGGCTATCACATAATTTTCCAGCAGGAGCCGATTGCCTCCCACTATCCTTAGCTATATAACATTTCTATATGTATTTATATAAAGAATTGGAGACATAATATCTGAGAAGTATAATTAGTTACAGTATCCTATTGAAAGTACACTAAATGTCAACTTTTTTTTTACCCGCAATAACTTTAGTATTACTGGTATTTGCATTGGAGAATCCATATGCCCATGAGTTAGTTTAAAAAATAAGGATGGCAGTTTTGCCAGTTTTTGTTTTTCCTTTTGTGTGGTACTAGTTTATGTAAGCAACCCCAAGCAATCCAAGTGTAAGAAAATTCCCTAAAAAAAAAATACAAGAAATGTCATTTATCTACAGTAATTGAATTGAGTTCCTAACACTTTCAAGCAATGCCATTCCCATAAATATCTATTTAGCTTTTATGCTCATATATTTAAAAATGTCTATATTGCCTTTATCCATAAGGAAATCTTAGAAAGTACATAGCTCTGCATATACCATTTCCAGAAAGAAAGGCATATCACCCTAGCTGGGGAAGATGGGGAGTACAACCCAACACTTCTGGAGGCAATCATGTTCGAGAAAACAATTGTTTCGTCACTTGTTATCACCAAAGACTTGACTCCAATCTTGTGTAACGTTTTTGAAAAATAGACAATTTTTTTTTTCTTGTGCTGTTTTCAGGGGCCACCAGGTGCTCGTGGAGATTCAGGCCCTCCAGGCCCTCAAGGGCCATCAGGACCACAAGGAATGAATGGGCTTTCCATTACAGGAGAACCTGTAAGTAAGAATGCTGCTTGGCCAGGATAAGAGACGAAGTGCGGTGTAATAAATACTTTCTGATTTCCCAGTATATTCAGATGTATGCTAAGTAAGTCAAGGTGTATTAGTGCACCAAACAGATTTCTAAATACTGCAGGATTTGTAGATTCTGCATAAACATAGAGACATGTTGTGGTGCTTATTTGAGTTTGCTTTTGATCTGCTTCTTTGCTCGCCTTTTCAAGGAAATACGAGAAGCTTTAAGTATTTCTTTTAATGTTTTATTGGGTGGAAATGTTGTCTAATAAACTATCATGCTTAGTTCTCATGATGTGAATGAAAGGAAAGCCACACACTACATGCCCAAACGAACCCTTGTTTGCTCTAATGGATTTTGAGGCTTAAAGATAAGCATGTCTGTTAATTAGACCCATGACTTTATTTTTGAGAAAATAAACAAAGACTGTTCTTTTTATAATTCTAGGGACGTCAAGGGCCAAAGGGTAACCCTGGAGAACCTGGACTACCAGGGCGATCAGTAAGTTCCTTTGCTATTTATTTTCCTTTCTTCCAAAAGACACTCTGCTTGTAGGCCTGATTCTGGGGCACTTCAAACTACTTCTGAATTGGGAAATAACAACTTCTAGAAAATGCTGATCTGTCTCTGGAACAGCATGGTTCTGAAGGAGAATAAGAGAGTCTAGATTTCCAAACCATGTTCCATTCTCAAAAGGGCTGAATTTCTCTCATCCGTAATCATTAGTAGGTCTTCTTACTAAGGATAATGATTGCTTAATGATTACAGGTAGTCCTTGACTTAAAACCATTCATTTAGCAACCATTTGAAGTTAGAGTGGCACTAAAGAAGTGATTTACAACCAGTCCTTGCACCTACAATTGTCATAGCATCTACACGGCCAGAGTGCTTGGCAACTGGCACGTATTTATGACGGTCACAATGTCCCAGGGTTATGTTATCACCATTTGCAACCTTTCCAACTGGCTTCTGACCAGCGAAGTCAATGGGGTGGAAAGCCGGATGTGCTTAACAACCGCGCGATTCACTTATTTGGAGTGATTTGCTTAACGACTATGGCAAAAATAAAGATCACCAAATTGGCACAACTCTTCACTTAACTGCCATTTTGCTTAGCAGCAGGAAATCTGATCCGGATTGTGATCGTAAGCTGAGGACTACCTGTAGCTATTACTTAAGAGTGAATAAGATTTATAACATGTTGATAAATAAAATATGTTTACCTTTAAAAGAATTAACAAGACATATAACTATAAACAACCAGAGTGTAGACAAAATATAATTCTGTACAGCGTCTACTGTACAGAAATTATAAATCAAAGGTCTACTTGTTTTGGTTCATTTCTTTTCATGGGGTGCAAATCAGTATCACTGCATCCAAAGAGCCTACAATATGAGGAGCTATATATTAAAATAAAATGCTGTTATATGTTAAAATTGTATTGCATTGTTCCAAAATCCTGTCTAGCTAATGTTTTCTTTCTCACCTAGGGATCACCAGGCCTAAGTGGCCCTCCTGGCGCAATGGGCCCACCAGGTGACAGAGTGAGTAGTTCTGATTTATCCTGGAGAGTGGAAACTTTACAAAGGCTTTGAACCACATTAGAACATTTATAATTCTATGTGTCTTCATTTTGTCAGCTTCCTTGAACCTTGAAAGGGTGGAGCAGATGGGCTTTAAATATACAGTCTTTTATGTTACTTTTTCTTTAGATCAGATTTCTTTGGTTTGATTGGGGTCAATGGACAATTATGGTCAAACACATACAGAGGACACAAGTTTAAAGAAAGTTGATAACTGATGGAATAATGAAGAAATGATAGGCTTTGTATATTTGTGATACAAATCAGTGAGGAATTGCATTATGCAACTAAACATACAGAAGCAAGGGCTTTGGATAAGAGGAAAATAAACAATAAGCCTTACAAGAGATCTTTGTTTTTCATCTACAGCAGAGAAATAGATAATGTATTACAGTAGTAACATTTTCTCGCTAAAGACTAAGTTTTCTAAGACCTGTGGTATGTAGTATATACTGTAGTTATTGCAGCTATAGTTACTGATCCTTAATAACACGGGATATTTAGACATTGTGGTTTTGAATGCTTTTGATACTTTTTACAGGGTGGTTGGCCCAAAAACGTTTCTGCATAATTATATTGTCCCTACAAGCAAAACAAAAAATCAAAACGCTAATCCATAATGTTCATTGTTCTCCAAACAGGGCTTTACTGGAAAAGATGGCCCATTAGGACCAAGAGGTCCCCCAGGACCAGCGGTTAGTGTTGGCTTTGTTGTGGGAATGATAATGTAATAGTGGAACTATGATGGATGGCGCTGGTGGGAGTTGTGTCTGTTTTGTGTCAGACAGTGCTGTCATCCTTTTCAGGAACACATGGTACCAAAGCAAATTAAATTACAGCTGGCATATTAATTCAGTACTCTGAGTGTGGATGCTTAATATAGCAAAAATGACTCCAGTCATCGGTTACAACAGTGTTTCTCAAGCTTAGCAGTTTAAAGATGTGTGGACTTTGACTTCCAGAATTCTTCAGCCAGCATGCTGGCTGAGGAATTCTGGGAACTGAAGTCTACATATCTTAAAGTCGCCAAACATGAGAAACACTGAAGATCTGCAATATGAAGGTATATTAAAGAACAGCCTTAAGAAAAGGGGACTACAGAACAGAGAAGTGAGGACTACGTGCAGTGAAATCAATTGCTGAACGTATTGGAGCTCTGAAGATGTGCTCTCTACATTGCAGTATTAGTTGTAGGTCCAATTTAGTTGATCCAATTCCGTTGACTGCATAATACATCTATATCTTGCTACAACATTATTTAATAAAGTATACAATCTCATTTTCCTTTTGCAGTGGGTCACCTTCCTATAAACATCAAATTTTTAATGATGATTTTAAGCTGATATTTAAACAAAACAACAAAACAAATCACCTTGCAAACAATACAAATGTAAATATAAGAAAATTAAGTAAAATTGATGTAAATTTAATTGCCTTATCCAGATCACCCTATGTGAATCAGGCATTCCCCCCCCATTATTTTAGGATAGTGGTCAGAAAGAAATTTGGTCCACTCAGTTTATTCCTAGTATTAGCTAAATTTAGAACAGAACAGAACAGAACAGAATAGAATAGAATAGAGCTGGAAGAGACCTTGGAGGTCTTCTAGTCCAGCCCCCCGTTCAAGCAGGAGAACCTATACCATCTCAGACAAGTGACTGTCTAGCCTCTTCTTAAAAACCTCCAGTGATGAAGCGCCCACGATTTCTGAAGGCAAGCTATTCCACTGGTTAATTGTCCTCACTGTCAGGAAGTTTCTCCTTAATTCCAGGTTGCTTCTCTCTTTGTTCAGTTTCCAACTGGTGCTTTGGGGAATAACATGATCCCCTCTTCTTCGTGGCAGCCCCTCATTTCTGAGTATATGTTTCATTTCAGATATATACATTGAACAAACACAAATAAAATTGCTCAAGACTATTATTTCCCTTTTCTGTATATCTTTTCAATCTACTTCTTTATAGGGTACCCCAGGCGTGCCTGGAGTTGCTGGTCCAGCTGGGAAACCAGGTGATCGTGGTTCACCGGTAAGAGAATCTGTCACTGGCATATATTGTATCTTTTGTGAAAAGCCCTTTTACTTTACATTTCCAGTAGGAAATGGTACACCACACAATGGCTATCATTGATGGCAAGTCACTTTTTATCATTCATGCTTTTTGCAGCATGAAAGTCAGGTCTGGAAATTGTGGTTGTATGGTTTTTTCCACTTTGAAAAAAACTACTCCAATTGAACATGCCAAGATATATATTTCTCCACTACATAAATATCCCAGAGGTAAATTACTTAGTGGAATTACCTATTTGCTATTTTTAAAATTCAGTCAAGTGTGATATACTGCCTGTGGTGGTTTTTTTAATGTAGCATTTTGAGAACATTTAAGCTTAAAAATACTTGAATGAAGCTTCCCAACTTTCTGTTGATAGCGTCAATTTTGAAACTGTCTTAGGGATTAAGTAGGATCACAATTTGGCCTTAATAGCAATTGATGGAAGCTCCTTTGACAGATGTATCCTAAAATGTGATGGGCAAACATTTGACGTCAGATGACTATGGAGATTCTCAGTCATCCAGGTCATGGTTGTCCCAAAGGTACTTTTTCAAAAGGCAACTGGACTTTCTTTGTTTTTCCTTGAGGATGTTTCGCTTCAGTTCAGAACTGAAGAAGCTTCTTAGATGAGAAATAAAACGTCTTCAAGGAAAAACAAAGGAAGTCTAGTTGCCTTTTGAAAAAGCACCTTTGGGATATTTGGCATCAGACGGCTCTGTAGTTGCATCTGCTGGCCCAGCAATCATGCAAATACAACAACACCCATTTCTTTATCTTTGTTGCTATCAGTGTTCTTGAAGAAGCGTAGACTTCTGATAAAGAATTTGAGTTCTAAGACTGATTCTGCTAACCACATACTATAATATGGTACTGGTTTTGTATTATTTGCTTCTTCGTTGAAAGGGTTTGCAATTGATGGCTGTAAGAACTGTGATCATAAGAATATTCAGTCATATTTGGTGGCGCAATGGTTAGAATGCAGTATTCCAACCACTGCTAATCATTACAGCAAACTCTGCCCACAGCCTGCAGTTCAGTCTTGATGGGGCTCAAGGTTGACTCATCCTTCCATTCTTCCGAGGTCGATAAAATGAGAACCCAGATTGTTGGGGGCAATATGCTGGCATTGTAAACTGCCCAAAGTGCTATTGCTATATCTCTAGAGTAAATGAGTCAGACTAGCATATATCATTTATTTGAGTTGGTCTGAATTGTAATCTGCTTCCGTCTCTAAGAGCAACCTGATCTGAAAAGCTAGTCTTCTCATGGAAGGAAAGCAGGATCACTTCTGTTATTATTGTAAACTTCAAAGTGCTACAAAAACGCTAAGGAGCAGAGGCCAATTTAGTGTTGGCAGTATTGCCTTGGGTATAATTCTACAGATCCTTTAAATTAAGAGTCTGTAACCTGAGAGTCCAAACTGAATTTTGTGATCCTTATAATCACCTCTGGCTATGATTGTGAAAAATTAGCAGGGCAGCTTTCTGCTTTTATGAAGTGGGAAACATAGAACATATAGTGTAAAATAGATTGAACAGACCTTTAAAAAAGGCAAAACTCCCAAACCCCAACTAAAAATAATAATAACAAAAGCCAAAAACAAGGCAGATCTCCCCTTACCAGGAAGTTTTACTTAACTTGTACTTGACTGAATGTTATTTTTGTTCTATTTTTATATAAGATGAATATATAACATGATTTGAGAGCATATAATAACTGCCCATTCCCCATATGCTTGACATCACATTCACCGTTTCTCACGTTTATAGATCTGTTCCCAGCTGGGACTCTGGCACATAGAGTCTGTGCAGATGTTTGGTTAGACTTATGAGGCAGATAGGATTTCACCACGGTCATTTGTGCTATCATGGCAGCCTAAGACCATATGTGTGAGTAGTCAGCCAAATGTAGCCTGCAGAGATCTAAAGGTCATGTAGGCTTTTCTGTAGTTGTATGGCCCAGTTCCAGAGTAGCACTTTATTCAATCATACACCATTTCCTTTGATAATTTCAGACTTTCATTGTATCTTTGTAGAACCAGTCACACAAAGAACTAGAATATATAGTTTAGTCCAGGGGTAGACTATGCTGACTCAGGAATTCTGGGAGTTGAAGTCCACGAGTCATAAAAGAGCCGAGGTTGCCTACCCCTGGTTTAGTTCAAGGATGAGATGAGGATCACATGATCACATGTAGTAAATTTCAGCATGTTGTAAGACTATTAAATAATTGTAGGCACTCAAGCTAGTACACAGAATATATCTTAAGTTAATTAGACACTAGCATAGCAATTCAGTGCATCTTGGGAACATTATCTGATCTTTGAAAATTGGTGCCAAGCAAATAATCCAAAATGGTGCAGATTTGCAGGGATTAATGTTTACTGTACCACCAACTCTATAAAAACAACAAAATGCTAAAGGTACAAAAAAAATAGGCAAAGCTGTTTAATTTCTGATTACGTAACTTGTCTTCAGTATGAAAATATGAAAGTGCAAGATGAAGTTTGAATTTGATAGAAACATGGACAAGGAATCCCTATTTATGTTGAATGAATTTAAATCTCCAATTGACTTGTATCCTAGGGTCAGGTTTAGAGTTGAAAACAATATGGCAATTGGCAGAAGTCACCTCGTGTTTGTAAAAAAAAGTCTTGCCAGACAGTGTCCAAAGCTTCAGCACTGAGCTCTTTATTCTTCAGCACTTTTATTAATAGCCTGGAGAAAAAGATGGAGGCAACAGTTATCAAATTAACAGCTAATACAAACTTGTATGGGCTACCTAATAATCTTAAAAAAAAAATGAAGTTGAAAAAAAACCCCTGTATAAATTACAGAACAGGACTGAGGAAAACAGAATGAAATTTAACAAAGATAAATATGGGAAAAATAGGATGGGGGTTAGCAGTTATCTCTGTCCAGTCATGACTGACTCTAGGGCAGTGCTCATCCCTGTTTCTTAGACAAGGGACTCAGCGTTGTCTGAAGATGCTTCCATGGTCATGTGACCAGCATGACTATACGCTGAAGTGCATGGAACGTTGTTACCTTCCCACCGAAGTGGTACCTATTTATCTACTTGCATTTGCATGCTTTCAAACTCTACTAGGTAGCAGGAGTTAGGGCAAAAAATGGGAGCTCACCCTGTGGTGCAGCGCTTGGGTCTTGAATTCGGGCTGTCAGCTTTCCAGCTAAGAAGCTCAGCATTTTTAATTGCTGAGCCATCGCACCCCAGTTATAAAAAAAGTTTAAATATTTTAGAATTCCAGATAAAGCCTTCAGAAGAATGATTCTTCCATTTAAATCAATCTATTTTAAACCTAGAAGGTCTCTGTTTCTAATTTGTGCCTTCAATTTTTAATATTTTTTTAAAAAATATATTGGCTATCTCGAATACTTGCAGAAATATAAAAGCTGGAACATAAATCTATATATAAGTGAACTGTAGTAAATCTGTTTCAGATATCTAGATTTGAGGATGATTCATGAATACACAACAGACTAAGAAAGGAATTAGAGAAATCTATAAGTGGACCTCACTTTTGAGAGAAGATGTTCTTTATCTCAATAGTATTGGGAAGGGCGATCTATAATAATAATAACAATAACAACAACAATAATAATAGAGTTGAAGGAACCTTGGAGGTCTTCTAGACCAACCCCCTGCTCAGGCAGGAAACTCTATACCATTTCAGACAAATGGTTCTCCAGTCTTTTCTTAAAAACATCTAATGTTGGCGCAATCACAACTTCTGGAGGCAATTTGTTCCATTCATTAATTGTTCTAACTGTCAGGAAATTTCTCCTTAGTTCTAGGTTGCTTCTCTCCTTGATTAGTTTCCATCCATTGCTTCTTGTTCTGCCTTCAGGTGCTTTGGAAATCTCCCTCTTCTTTGTGGAAATCTCTGAGATATTGGAACACTGCTATCATGTCACCCCTAGTCTTCATTAAACTAAACATATCCAATTCCAGCAACTGTTCTTTATATGTTTTAGCCTCCAGTCCTCTGATCATCTTTGTTTGCTCTTCTCTTTACTCTTTCTAGAGTCTCAACATCTTTTTTACATCGTGGTGACCAAAACTGGATGCATTATTCCAAGTGTGGTCTTACCAAGGCATTGTAAAGTGGCATTAACACTTCACGTGATTTTGATTCTATCCCTCTGTTAATGCAGCCTGGCATTGTGTTGGCTTTTTTGGTAGCTGCAGCACACTGCTGGCTATTCCTGCCAGCTTGGTGTCGTCTGCAAATTTGATGAGTTCCCCAACTATCCCCTCATCCAAATCATTGATGAAGATGTTGAAGAGTACTGGGCCTAAAACAGAGCCTTGGGGTACCCCACTGCATCTTTCCCTCCATGTAGATGCAGTTCCATTGAGGACTACACGTTGAGTGCAGTTGGTCAGCCAGTTACGAATCCATCTGGTGGTGATGCTGTCTAACCCACATTTTTCTATCTTACCTAGTAGTAGGTTGTGGTCTACTTTAACAAATGCCTTACTGAAGTCCAAGTAAATTATATCCACAGCATTCCTTTGGTCCACTAATATTGTCACCTGGTCAAAGAATGCAATATGTTTTGTCTGGCATGATCTGTTTTTGACAAATCCATGTTGGCTTTTGGTTATGACTTTGTTTGCCTCTAGGTGTTTGTTGATTCCTTGCTTGATTATCTTTTCCAGAATCTTCCCAAGTATTGAGGTCAGGCTGATAGGTCTGTAGTTTCCTGGATCTATTTTTTTCCCTTTATCAAGGGACCAAACTTTCTTGAGCCAGTGAAGGAATTCAAATTAGAACAACCCTGACCTATTGCTCTTTACCCTCTGCTTGAACATATCTGGTAAAATGGATCCACCCAATCTAGATAATTGATTTCATATCAAATTGTTCTTTTCTTGTTCCAACATAGAACTAGCACATGGCTCCCTATTGGCTAAAATCAATAGTTCCCAAACTGTAAAGTCCATAAGAGTATCATAAGTAACTATCAATCATATCCAATTTGAAATGGCTAATATTTCTCAAGATCACCAGGTTTTTGAACATTTTGCCTTTCTCATTTATCATCTTATGAGGTTATGGCTTTCTTCCCAAATCTCTCTCAGGATTTTAAAAATTAAACTTGTTCATTTAATTGGGGAGTCAGTTGCCATCTAAGTGAATTATATATCCAGGGTGTATACAGACACTGCATTGTCAAACCCTGGTAGAGCATATTTGTCCAAATAAATAAGATTTAGAATCATTGTTTAAGATTATTGTCGTATGACCTGCATTCTACACACACACACATATCAACAGGTCATGACTTTATTCTGTATAACAACTCTTTAAATTATTTGAATAATGCTTTAATTATCCACTCAGTGTGCTCTTTTGGGGTTATTTTATTTTTCTTTTGGAGAGATGGAGTCTGCTATTGCTGTGGCTTCCTAAGGGTACTTTGTCATAGGTCTATGAGCATATGCTGTCTTCATTTTCAGTGCATGTTGCTGATGTTACTTCATTCTAAATAGTCTGGCAATAACAAAGAATTATGAAACAGAGACAGATGTGCTCTCTGAATCTTACATCCACAACCAGACTTAAGAATATAAAAGGGCATTTTGAGTCGGCATGCTTGATGCTGAAGTCCCTATATTTGAAATTATCTCTAGTGTAAATGTTTTACTTTTGTTCATGATCTCGGTGTCATATTTTATAAATACTGACAATTGTATTTAATTGCATACAGTGATGTTCTGGTCCTGACTTCTGGAATATTTTTGTGTATCATTAAGCTTAAAAACACATTGAGAAGTTTTGAAAGACACTGACTAGTACCAGATCTACTGGTGTCTTTTGCTGAGCTGATGACAAAGCATTAAGTGACACATTTCAGGGAGACATTTGCAAAAATATTTAATATTCAGAGTAAGCCAATGACATTGGTTAAAGAAGAGAGGCAGTAGATTTTGGAATGGGGGAGGTCTCTTCCATTTGCTAATAAAGGAATATAGCTTATTCAGTTATATTACATTCTGAAAGGATTGTATTAAGAGTTATACACACAAACGTCCTACAGATGGATTATTTGTATGCTTGTTTGTGTGTATTTACAAAATACTATTGCTGAATGTCTGTAGTATAAAGTGCATATAGTAGAACAGTCAATCACTCTGACAACTTCGCTCTAACCAACTCCTTCAGTGTTGCTTTTAATAAATGAAACAGCACATGACTGAACTTAGTTTGGAAACTAAGCAGGACTGGACCTGGCTAATATCTGGATGTGGGACAATTTGGAAATTCCAGGACTGTAGCTTAGACAGGCTGCAAAACAATCAAGGAAGAAGACAGAGGGAAGCCATGTGCATGTTATTGCCAAGGACTACACATATGAAGACAAGCTTGACTTGAAAGAGTTTTTATTTTTTAACAATTAGAGTTGGGGGAGGCTCTGAAATGAAGTCTCCTTATTCCAGGGAATAACAACAGTTGCTTGGACAATTCCTTATGATATTTCATCAGGTAGTTAGATTGTTTCTTCCACATTTCATTTTAATTAAAAATGAGGGGAGCATTAGTTGAAAAGAGATCAATGCTCAATTGTGTAACTTTTGAAACTTATTTTATCCATTTATTGTACAGAAACTGAACATTAACTATATACAGACCTACCCTATTTTCTCATTGAATTGGCATTCAGAATTGGCATTCATAGAGATTGGAATACACTACAGAAAACAATACTGAAGGAATGTCTCAGAGGAAAAATAGAAATACTAATGTATTCGAATACATCTTCTTTCTCAAATCACTCTTATGGACGTCTCTAAACAGATCTGTTTCAGATGATAAAGTTGAAAGTTACACACTTAAAAGGCTGCCTGATCATTACATTAGCATTAGTTATAGATAACTGGGTTTCATTGTCAAGGCAGAATGGAATATATTTTATTAATAAAAATCTCTCTTGGAACCAGAGATAGAATATAGCTCAATGGTCATATAACTGCTTTGATTGCAAAAAGTTCAGCATTTTGAGGAGGGGAAAAAAAGGAGAGACCAGTGTCTGAAATCTAGGAAGACATAGCCAATGCTTTTGAACTATTTTGATTCATGTTTTATGTAGTAGTTTCCCATATTCCTTAAACATATGAGACCAATTTCTGTATTCATGACCCATTAGAATTTAAAGGCTATAAACATACATATATATATAGGTAGTACTGCTATAAAGCATTTTATCTGTTAAAAGGGCAAACAGGAAGATCACAAAACAATGTTTGAAACAGTTCATGGATGCAGAGCAAGCAAGAATGATTTGCAGATCAAAGTGTTTGATATATAGCTACCTTTTCTTCTCATACCTCAATTCCTTTTCCTTACTATTTCTTACTTCTTTTTTTGTGTATTGCATCATGTTGCTTACCACAAAAGGAAATAGAGTGAAGGGTATGTATATTAAAAAAAGAAATCAGAATTTAAATACGTTATCAAGTAAAAGATCCCGTGCAGTTTCCAAATGAATGAAACAGCTGGTTTTGGTGCTTGAAAAGAAACACATACATTTTGGCTGTTTGGGTCCATACATGGATGAAATGGGGCTATGTTTTCTCTAGGGAATGAAGCCTGATTGCTCCACCAGAAAAGGTATAGAAGGGAACAGAGGTCAGCAGCCAAGCCGATGGGTGGTAGGGAAGAAAGAGGGGAAGCTGCTGGAAAAAGAGGATGAAGCACAATCATGAATCTTCACAATCCTTACTTAGCCCCACCCTGCACATTGTTTATGCTGCGTATAAATAAAGCTCCAAGTTGTTCATATGTTCTACAATGCTGCATAATGAGATTCTGCTTAATATTTCACCACATCTTTTTTCTGCATATGTAGATGATACCCTGACTCTAAATGTTATGAGGCTGTTTACTTAAGCCTCCCCCCCCCAATTCCTGACTGTTGCTCATTTGATACAGAAACATTCACTATATATATATATTTTAATTCATTCTTTTGGTTTTTGCTACCTGTGTCATTTATTTGTGCTTTACAAAGCTGTCCTGTGATAACATTTTGATGGACTATAATCTGTTACAGGGTCCAGTTGGATTGAAAGGTGAAAAAGGTGACCGAGTAAGTGCAGCTTTAGAATTAATTCACATACATTTTTTAACTTATTAAATGCAGTTTTTTTTACGATGAGATATAAACCAACAATCATTTTATTTATTTAAGGGAGACATTGCTTCCCAGAGTATTATGCGAGCTGTGGCAAGACAAGTCTGCGAACAAATGATCAACAGTAAGTGGTGCTTCTATCACAAAAGCCGTATACCAAGTTGTCAGACATTAACACACTGTAGATTTTAAGCATGTGGGATGTTTGCAGAATAGCCATATGCTCTATAACAGCCTTCCTCTAAAGCAGGGGTCTTTAAACTTGGCCCTTTTATGACTTGTGGACTTCAACTCCCAGAATTCCTCAGCCAGGCTGAGTTGAAGTCCACAAGTCATAAAAGGGCCAAGTTTAAAGACCTCTGCTCTAAAGGGTTGTTTTCTTAATGGGAAATCAGAAGAGAGTTTCTTTTACACGTGCATATTAGTTCACAATCCCTATAGGAGGTAGAACAAAATATTTTCAGTTGCTTATCAATGGCACCTTCGTTAGTTCAGGAGTCTGTGCCAGAAGTCAAGCTGAGAAGGATAGTATTGCTAGGAGTAATTCTTTTTTAACATTTAGATTTATGCTTGCAAATTAACATTTTGTTTTGTTTTGTGCCTTTGAATCAGTGTTGACTCCTGGCAATAGCCTGGATGTGTTTTTGTAGTTTTCTGGGCAAGGTTTTTCAGAAGTGATTTGTCATTGCCTTCTTCTTAGGGCTGAGAGAAGGGGCTGACCCAACGCCACCCAGCTGGACTAGAACTGGAGAATCTGTTAGTTAAAAAACAACAATCAACGAATGTTTTTATCTCTTAGGATCTCACTGTCTATTTCTTATGGAATTCTAGGGTTTTGTGGAATACCATTGAAAAACCCTGTGCTAACTTACGAAAATTTACATGTGCTATTTTCAATGTCCTGTTTAGTAATGCATTTCCTCTCCCACCCCCCACCCCCCATTCTTCAAGTAACCATCCTAACTGTTTATTATTCACTGGTCATAATCCAGGAGGCACTTGTGCCGACAGCACATCTGCATCACTTTAGACAGTTACACATATTTGGCTATTTATTAGCCTAGATTTAATGTATATATTTTTACTGGTAGGTAGGAACTGTAGAGGAGTAGTAAAAAATTTATCAGAGAAATCAGTACATAATCAAGTATCTTAAGTGGCTATACAGCACAATTTATTCCTGATTGAGTTGGGGAAGGGAAAGGATATAAGAATATGCATAAGTCTTCCATTCGCTGAATAGTTCTTTCTTTTTAAAATGGTAAACTGTACTGGTTTCAACTCTGGCACCAGAGTTTCATTCACAAAGATGTTTCATTATTCACTCTTTTAATTAATCTATTTCTTCTTTTTTTGTCCCCAAAAAAGACCAAATGACCCGATTTAACCAGATGCTAAATCAAATTCCAAACGATTACCATTCAAGTCGCAGCCAGCCTGGACCTCCAGGGCCACCAGGTCCCCCTGGATCTCCTGGGTCCTCAGGAGAGCCTGGAAGTGGAGGCAGGCCAGGATTTCCGGGCTCACCTGGCATGCAAGGATCCCCTGGCGAGCGAGGTGGGTTGTCCTTAGAGTCATGGGGATATTCCCCTGAAGGTGGGAGGGTTCTAAACTTTCAGGGTTTAGAACAGTGGTGGGACTATCAGCAAAACAAAGAACATACGTGAACCTCAAATATCAGACCATGAAAACTGCTCAAAGTTGCTCAAAATGGCATTGATTAAACTGCCGACATTAGATGTTTCCTGAGCAATTGAAGCCATCACTTCTGTGACGCAGCTTGAATATAGTTTCTTTTTGGTGTGGTTTAGGGCCGCCTGGAGAGAAAGGTGAAAGAGGAATTGGAATACAAGGATCACGAGGTTTGCCAGGGCCACCAGGTAGGTTATAATAGTGATATATACTATTAAAAATAAAGATATATATTACCAAATTTTTGAAACTTTTATTCATTCATCATGTTGCTCATCCTCCTTAAGGCCACATATCAGTTGAAAGTATTGAGTAATTACATAGTAGCAATTGACTTTTGTTTGTGATACTTCTCCCTCTCCCCCTTCCCTCCCTCCCTCTCCCCCCCCTCTCTCTGTCTCTGTCTGTCTTTCTCTCTCCATATACAAAGTTACAGGGCTCTCTCATAGATCATGATGTTGTCATGATGGCTAGTTTTGCTATCATTATAGTTTGGTTACTTATTTAGATCTTGGCTGGGTTAGTCAGATTCTGTCTCATTGCTTCTGTCTTCAATTTACTATTGAATGTTCATGACAAACTCCATAATAAGCTCATAACAATTTCTACCTTCATTTTATGAAAACTTCCATTTCTTTTAACCATGAACATAAATGGTTCCAAGGAAAACATTATCTCATCTATTCTAAAGCTATGGAGTAGCAAAATTAAAGTAATCTTATGCTTTATTTGAAACGTAACATAGAAGTTGCTTCCCTGTGTAATCCACCAGACTCAGTCAGGCCAAAACAATTTTCTATGACTAAAGATCTTAAAATCAGGGAAACAACTAATGATGAGTTACGTTTTGGTTTCCTGTGGTTGTTTCATTAACACCATATGTTGAAACCGAACAGAAACATTCCTTAACTATATGCTTGAATGTAATCTAGTTTTTAATTTTGCCAGCCACTTTACTAAACTGCCTCGTACTGAATTTATTGATACAATACCTTCCTTTTCATTCTACAATTAGGTCCACAAGGAGAATCCAGAAGTGGCCCACCAGGTTCTACAGGTTCCCGAGGTCCACCTGGGCCACCTGGCCGACCTGGTAATGGTGGTATCAGAGGCCCTCCTGGGACCCCTGGATACTGTGATTCATCCCTGTGTGCTAGCATTGCTTACAATGGCCAAGGATACCCAGGTAGGTTATTGAGAACTTAAATGTCGTTGAATACTTTAATAAAAGCTTGTTCAGCACGAATAATTTTATGCAGTGAAAAGTTCTAATAAAAGTAGAATTAATTAGACATTAAAACTGAACTATAACTCAACTGCTGAACAGTGTAAGCTTTCCAACTCCATCAGATTTAGACATATTTGTTGTGATTCTCATCACTGGTTTCTTTCATGTTTATAAAATTTATCCAGTTTTTGAAGTAGCTTTGTCCCAGTTTGAAGTGCCAATTTTACTTTAAGGCAAAAAGTAGTTTATATATTTCAATCTAATTTATTTCTAATATTTAAAGTGAAAGGATAAGGCACATTGTTCTTAGGACATAATTGACCATTTTTCCTTCTTCTTCCTGTTTTCCTTCTCCATCAAACTACTCCTGTACTTCTGAACAAGGTTGACCATTCGTCTAAAGTATAAAGAACAGAGTTTGCCATTTCTGCGTTCATCTTTCTGATTCGTGATGGGATTATCTATACAAAATTAGTACCTGAAATCTAATTTTCCATCTCAAATGTCATTTTGTGATACAGTGCAGACAACTAGGCAAGGGTTAGGGCATGGGAAGTCATTATTTGCACTGTATCAAATTCAATGGAATCTACTATATTGGTCTATTATGCAAATTTCTTCTGAGAAGAGTCAATTTGGGGCACTGAATGGTCAAAGGAACTTAAATGCTGGATATTTGTGACCACAGGATACCAAATCACTAAATTGGGAAGGATCATAACCAGTGACCATGCCATATATTTAAGGCCTCTTCAAGAAAAGATTCCAGGCCCTTAATATTGATCACTAATTTGTTGTGTGCACTGTAGCACCTTATACGTGATATTGCTGTTATGTTGTTTGCATGTATACGTGAATATATATAGATATATATATATATATGTACACACACATTCATAGTATTGATGGGTAGATCAAATTCAATAGAACAAGCCATAATGCAAAATTTGCACAATATCAACAATTGAATGAGAAATAAATGGAAAGTAATACTGAAGTGCTACCCTTTCAGAAAATAATCTGGCATATATATATATATATAGATAGATATACATACAATTTAACTCTCATGGATGTAATGAATGAAAAACAGTTTTGCACAGCTGTTCAACCCTGAAAACTAAATCTTCGACCTATTTCAGGATCCGGCTAACAAATTTTCTATGCCGTCAGTGCTGCTTACAGTTTGAATTTTCATGAAAATCCTGTTTCTGAGATGTTTGTGCACGTGCTTACTTGGACGTGAATCTGTATGGTTATTTCATTATAGATAATGGTTACATAAATAGTGTTGGCCTCATAAGAGGGGAGATGCTCTTTTTAAAAGAATGTACTTACTAACAAGCATTTGTTATTGCAGTAAAGGGCAATGGCATTTGACAAAGCAAGGGATGTAAACTCAATCTCCCTGTACTTATTGTCCAATTATATCAAAACCAAGTTACTAGAATGGCAGCGGAGGCTTATAAACATATTAATGAACATAACACCATAATATATTTACCTTGGCAAAACAGAAAATGACTGTAAATAATGAACTAATTCTGGCTTGTAAATGATTTGTATGGAATCATGTCCACTAAACCTAGTTAACATTACATCATGCTTTTGCATTCAAACTTCCTGCTGCTTTTTAATTTGTGCCAGCATAATTTCTTCGAAACTCTCGAAGTCTTTCTCTCTTTTCTTTGTTATTCTTATCTCCGTCTTACCTTATTCAGGACTTGAGGCTTTTTTGTATATGTAATCTTCTTACAAGTGCTGAAAATATAATTAATTTTGATTCTGATTTTCCTGAAATCTTTGGTGTTCCTCTAGCACTAGCTCTGGTTCAATTGGATATGAGGCACATTTGTCAGAAAATAGTAGTTACTGATATTGTCAATGGCGACAACTTGGTGTAAATTTCTGCCACGCCCATAGGGAACTATTTTGAATAAAACAATGTTGCATACATGAAGTTTTCCCATTTGAACAAAGCATTTGTTTTAATAATTGGCTTTCACTTAAGTGGAACTCTTAAAGATTACTTAAGTATACATTAAGCCTACTAAAATTAATTGTGTCCCAGTGAAATAAATGGAGTAAATTACAACTAATTGTGACTAATTGAGATTAATAAATCTCAACTGTTTTCACTGGAAATTACTCAAGGCTTGACTTTAGGGTTTGTAATTTTAATACTTACCTTAAAAAAAAAACCTAAACCTCAAAATTATTTTGAGCATTGTAGTCCTTAAATTGTGCCAGTATTCTTTCTGTTTCAGAATTTTTTCTTCTCCCAAATTGAAATTATTTTTGAATGATCATTATGTCTACATTGCACAAAATCAATGTTAGAGACTAAGCTGCAAGTAGGACTTGCTAATTTGCTTGCCATTAAGTCTCTTTGCTCCCTAAGAGACTTAATTTTTGCACAGAACTTCAGTTTTCAATATTTTAGATGTGGACGTTATTATTTTTGTTTAAATTTTGTTTATGTTAGTTTGCCATTAAAAAAAAAAGTTTTTGAAAGGGAGCAGAAAAAAATTCTTCAACAGACAAAACATGGTACTTCCCCTTCTGGCCACCTGTTTTTGCTGGACACACATATAAAGCTCCAGCCTTCATGTCAAAGGCAAGGGCAATCAATGCCTCAGTCACAACTCCCCTTGTTGAGATCCATATGCGTAGCAGAATTTCTACATAAATTATTGATTTTAGGATCATTGGTTAGGGTGGGGTTTTTTTTTTTAAATGAAATCACTTCCGAATAAAAGCCCTGAGGATTAACTAAAAGAAAAAGACAAACCATCCCAGATTTACTAAAACAAAACATCAACGACCTAATAGCCTGCTTTTAAACTTAAGAAAAAGAAATCCCCTCTTGATTCAAAGACATATGATAATAACTTTGATGTTCCATTGGACAACTATTTTCAACCAGAGTCCTATGTACCTGACAGTGGACCATATCAGCCTGACAGTGAGGCCTACATAGTACCAGTGGAACCTGAAAGAAGAGATGAGCACTATGAGGACTATGGATCTGATATGCACTCACCTGGGTTCCCTGAACATATGCGCTGGAAACGTTCCTTATCAAGAAAAGCAAAAACAAAACCATAAATGTCTTATTTTCTCACTCCTCTCTCCCCACCCCCTCTCCCTTTGGGTATTTGTTTTTGTTGTTGCCATTCTCTCATATGTAGATATGCTATTCCTCCTACCGTGTTTCCAAGCAGAAGTACAACTTAAATCTTCTGAGAAATATCTGGCGTATGTGGGAATAGCAATAGATGTTGCTACACATTTCGTTCTCTCTCTGTCTCTCTTGGAATGCCTGTAATATACCTGTGCTTCAGGTGGCTGTGTTAAACCTTAACAAGTGCATCAAAGTGACCGCAAGGCTACAGTTCTTTTAATATATATATATATATATATATAACAACCACAGAAATCCCACCTTCTTCACAGCTACTACAAGTAATCTGGATGTCTCAGCAATGGAAGAGCTTGCCTTATCATTTTCTTCCTCATCAAATTGCTTGCTCAGTAATTCAGTCACTGTTACCAATCTGCAACATCTAATAAAAGAAGAAATTTCCCTTTCCACATGAGCAATTTCTTCTACTTTTTGCATATATCTTGCAGGGCACATACAGTACTGCTTTTATGCATCCCTTTTAACAACCACAAACCTTTAAATAATATAGCTGGCATCCTTGTATCAACTGGATACAATTTTAAAAGAAGTAATGGCTTAATTTTCCTTGTTTTAGAGACTTTAACATTTATGCCAAATTGCAGTCAATCCTGCAGAGATGGAATTGCATGTTTGTGTTGTATATTTAGTTATGATTCCCCTTCTCTCCAGAATATAATGTTTCATAGTTATCAGAAAAAAAGCAGTTGGAAATTGTTTGCAAGACTATGGATATAGAATTGCTGCTTTTATATTTTAACTGCAAATTGTGAATTTCACTGCCTTATATTATTTATTTCTGAAACAAAAGAGGCATTTTTCAATAAAACTACTGAAAATCTATACAGCGTCTGAGTATTATTGCTGGAAAACTTCCAGATATCAGAGGCTTTATTGCCATGGAAAATTAATCCCCTGAAACATTGAACTCTATTTCTCTCTGCATGTGTGAGTGTACACATCCACATCCACACACACATATATAGCATATTGCAGTTTAAAATGCTCAGTGAGGAGCACTTTATTTTCAGCAACGTTTTCTCTGCTCTGAAGGTATAGCGTATGACTTGGTTATATAGAAGCCTCCACAGCAAAATGAACAGCAATTCCCAAACTTAGAACTCCATGTACATTTTGCAAATGATCTGTAATTTCAGCGGTCTAGACCATGTGCTGTCTTTTATTGAGTAGTTCAGACATGTCAAACACAAGGCGCGGGGGCCGGATGCGGCCCGCGAAGTGGTTTCATGTGGCCCGCAAAGCCATCCTGGAAACAGTGAGGGAACGGCCCCCGCTGCTTTGGCCCTGGGCCAAGCCAGCCGGGAGCCAATGTATAATTTTGTGGTGGCCATCTTGGCACTTGCCCCGGTGGACCATGCCTTGGCACTTGCCCCGATCCCACCCCCTTCTGCCAGAGACCCTCAGATCTGTCCCACTCCTGCCCAGGCCCCCCACAGGCACCCTTGATGCGAATGATGTAGAACTGGCCATGCCCACCCAGTAGGCCACACCCACTCCATCCACGCCCACCCAGTAGGCTGCACCCACTCTGGCCACACCTACCCGGCCCCCCCAAGGGCAACCGTAATGCTGATGCGGCCCTCAGTAAAATTGAGTAGTTAAACCATTGGCCCGTGTGGCTCAGTATTACCAATGTTGGCTGGCAACTGACTTGCCAAAGGTTCAGATTTATTTATTTTACTAGACTTATATAGTGGTCTAGCACTTGACCATCATGTGTAAACACTGTTATTACATGATTGGTACCTACATAGTCAATTTGCACCAAAGGCCTGGAGACATGCCAAGATTTTTCTCCTACCAAAACTGATTGAACATTTCCCCATCAATAGCCCTTTCTGACCTCACTCGCACATATTCCGTTGTGTAGTGAAGTTGTTGTACTTGTTCTCCCTCTTACTTGCATATCTGCAATAGCTGCTGCTGTTACTTTGGAGCCAAATTGGTAGTCAACATCCCATCCCTTTACCCAAAATAAGAAGCAGAAAGATTTAACATTTCTAACACTAGAAACAAAGCTGACCATTTATTTTCTTTTATTTGTTGATCAAATTTTAAAACATACTAAGTTGTGTTGAAGCTGGTGAAGAATTCTCAGGCCTAGGCAAGCTTTCAACCTGTGTACACCACAATTAAGGCATCTGTCTAACTCCTGTTACCGTGACCCTCCTGCATTTACCTCTATATATATTTAGTTGGCTCAGATTCTCCTACAGTGACAGCTTTGACTGACAATTAACAAACCACAAGCTGTTCTCCGCCAGCCACTTCAGTCAGAATGAAAGATGAGATAGTAGCGAATCTTCGATTATGTTTTACCCCAAGAAATACTATGTACAAATAACTTTTAACTCTGAACACTCCACAGAATCAAATCCGTTTAACACAAATAAAGTAGAGTTTATACTTGAATTCATTCCTTCAGTTTGCTTACTGTGATGGCATTAGTTGAAGAAAAGAAGATGTTGAGAAGTTCTGAATGTACAACAGATCATATTTTTTATGCCAGCAGTGATCATTGGAAAAATGATGTGTGGAAAAGAAGAAAAAAAAATTGAAATAAACAATAGTGGTAGTAGAATAGCAAAAGAAAGTAAATTTCATATTTACTTCATAGAAAATAGTAGAAGACAGATTTATCTTTCAACAAAATGACTGGGCAGAAGATTAATCAGGAGGGAGAAGTTGATTAGAACAAAGGTAAAAATGTTTCAGAGGGCCACAGAACTATATGGAGCAATAGTAAATATGAAAAAAATGTTTAATGAAATGACAAAATGAACAAAACTAAACAAAAACATAGAATTAATTGCTACACAAAAAGGGTGGTGGAAATGTATAATGGGTATGAAGAGGAAAGACTGCAAACAATGTAGTCAAAGTATACAATAAATAATAATTTTTCCAAGCAACTCATTATCTATACTACAAGAGACTAGTAAAGATCTAAAACGGTCTAGTTACACTAATTCACACAAACACATACACACACAAAACCACATAGCAGCATTTCTGATGAAGTGTCTTGGCAACAGAGCATTCAGACAGAATGAAGCTTCTTTTGCAGTTATTTGCTTTAGGCAGCAAATATAGCCCCATTTTTTTTAATGAAAACAATTCCAGGAACTTCCAATTCAGGAAAACAGCAATTCAACACTTTTACACTAGATAATGGAGAGGCTGAAAGTGCTTCTGAATTTTTTCTCCCAAAAGGCCTAGTGATTAATTTATCAATGTACTACAAAACATTCAATTTACTTCATGCCAAAAGTTACAACATTTTAAGCCAAATTGTACCTGACTGAAGGCAACACAACTTTTTTCTCTCTCCAAATATTATAAATACAGTTCTGGAGATAATGTAAGATTGTCTAATGCCAAAGTTTAATTTACACTGTGAGACCCATTGAGGATATGCCATCTATTTGCAAATTTGCTGAATCAGAGTTAGTAGAGAAGTACATTTCCCCAAACATTTCAGTTCAGCTCTCTTCTTTTGTCCTTTAAAATGTGAAAAAGCAAATAAATTTTTGGTGCAAACCCATACTGTGATGCAAAGGTTATCCTTGTCAACATTAAGATGAAAACAGAATTGTTTTTATTGGGGTTTATGAACATTGAGCTAGAAAAAAAATACAGGAAATTAATACTATATATGGTAATTGCAGCAAGATTCTTGGATGCACAACTGTGGAAGAATAATGAAATATCCACCGAGAAGTTTGGATTATAAAATTAATGGAGCTTGCAGAAATGCCAAAGCTGACCTTTCAAGCAATGAAAATATTTGAAAGACTGGAAGCCTATTATGGGCCTTTTTTTCAAAGAAGAAAAGACTGAATTGGGTTTGGAGGGGTCTATAAAGGGTTAAAAAGGAAGGGGGAGTAAGGGAGGGAAGAAAAAGGAGGAAAACTTGTAAGATGGCAACTGCTCCATAGAAGAGCAGAAGTCCTTCCTTCCTTCCTTCCTTCCTTCCTTCCTTCCTTCCTTCCTTCCTTCCTTCCTTCCTTCCTTCCTTCCTTCCTTCCTTCCTTCCTCTTTTTTCTTGTGTTCGCTTTATTTTTTTTACTATATTTGAAACTTCTAATGTGATAGGAAGGAGTGCCAATAAAATGTAAAGACTAGGGTAGAATAGCACTTCAGAAAACCTTGGAGGATGGGTGGGGGACATCCCTAAAATGATTTGTACCTTTCCTAGGATTGCATGGCTGCCCTCTTCAACTGCAATGAAATCCTGGCAAGAAATAATTAGTGGAGGTAGCACCTACTGACTCACTGAAATTAAGGCTGACTTCTGATGACTTGGGAACTTTTATATAATTTTCTTCTTAACAGTAAAGAAATGTCTTGTCACTGGCTTTGTCCGTATAATAGAAGTTACACCAGCCATGTGTAATATAACAATAGCACTTAGACTTATATACTGCAAAATATATTTTGCTTTCATCAAAATAAAGAGCCAAAAATAACTATGTGGAATATTTTTTTCTGCTAAATTTCAAAGGAATTAAAATTATATTGCCAAATGCAATCATTTTCCAGTAGCAGTGATAAAAATTTTATATGTGCAATAAACAATTATGAAGGAATAGAACTGAATTACTTTCATTATACAGAAGATTTCGCTAGACTTGTTGGATTAAGGATACCTTCCTCCTCCAGATGCTACTGAACTTCAGGTCTTCCCAAAGGATGCAGATTAGATGATGATGGGCACAGTCAAGATCACTCCCCTGTCCAAAATGAAAAGGAAAGTTGATGTATTTCAGATACTTTTTTAAAAGTCTATTTTCTCTTCAAACTTTTTGTGAGCTACTACTGATTTTTTGTGAGCTACTACTGATTTTTTGTGAGCTACTACTGATTTTTGGTGATTCCAGCTGGAATGGTCTCTGGATATCACCAAAAAGTGGGAAAGACCACAACCCTGGAATCTCATAGTGCCTGTTGTACACCAGGAAACCATTCTGGAGCATGTGTGAAAATGATTGCCAGCTATATAGCCTACTTTACAAGAAACATTCTGTAAATCGGTATTATAATAGGACAGCAAAGTTATGTTTAACTTGTAGAAATTGTCTATTTTTAAAAATGCAGTATTGATTGACAGCAGCCCATGACCAAGGAGGCAAGATTCCAATAGAGCACAGATCTCCAAACTTGGCAGGTTTAAGACTTGTGGACTTCAACTCCCAGAATTCCCCAGACAGCATGGCTAGCTGAGGAATTCCAGGAGTTGGTCCACAAGTCTTAAAGTTGCCAAGTTTGGAGAGCCGTGCTAAAGAGGCTCATTCATCAGGTTTAACATCAGGAAAAAAGAGTTAAGATTCCAGAATCTTGGAAACTAGGAAGCATACTTGTCTTAATGTATTATTAGTTTTCTTTCTCACAACCTCCCTAATGGATCAACCAATGCCTTGCTTATGAGATGTGGCTGAAATGGCCTTCTGCTCTTTCTTGTGCCATGTTTTATTTTTCAGACTCCAAGAATTCACATAACAACTCTTTCCAATAAGTTAAGGAGCAAAGATTTCTTCAAAGAGAGGGAGATGTAAAATGATTGGAAAACTTAAATTATAATGATGCCTCCTAACTATATTTACAATAACCGTGTTTGAAGTTTCTTCAGCTAGTGCCCTTAGGGCTGTTAAACTGGAAGCTATCCTTGTTCTCAGGTGCCTACTGATCTTTTCTTTCTCTCTGGCCCCAAGAATTCTTCAACATATGATGAGAAGGAGAAAAGTCCCAACCTGTTTCCTGCCCATCTGTTTATGGAATACATTATTATATTGTCAGGTGCTCACCCCGTCTTAC